TAGCTCAAAAGAAATGGTGCTGAAGCGATAGATTGGCTTGTGTGTCCCTTGCTACAACCCTATAAGGGACCCTTGTTATCCAGTTTTACTTAACCGCGGGATGAACTACGAGGCGGTAGAGGCTATTTGGGCCGACAGCGACGAAACAGCTATGCCAAACGTGGTTCAGATTATGCCGGACAGGATGTTTGAGCTAATTAGAAACTCTGGAGGCCCCACTGATTTCTAATCTCAGCTATGTTTTTGTCTTTTGTTAAGTGTGCACATACTTTTGAAACAAAGAAAAAATTTCATCCAAAATTTTTTTTAAAGTGAGGCGATATTATCTGCTTTGCTTCCATTGATAGGTTATCGACTACGAGAAATCGATTGAGAAGGATTTCATAGCACGAAACCTCATGGTTCCTTTCAAACGTGAATTTTGACGGTGTCCACATACTTTTTGAAACGCACTGTATTCGCCTCCCCCACTCGACTGGACAGGGCCAACTGTTTGCAAATTGAAAAAACAAAAAAAATCATTTTCTCTTTTGACATGATAAAAAACAAGGAACATCATAAATCATTTTAGTTTCTTTTCTATCGAAACCAATACTTTAGGCAATTTCACTAACGTACAAAATAGAACACTGCATAGATTTTCTTCCGAGTACATGAATTGCACAACATCAATTAGTACTTATTACCTCAAATGGATAAATTTTAGAAAATGTGACTGTTAAATATATCCATATCTCTAAAAAGAGACCACCGTCAGCTACAAACTATAATTCACTAGAATGGAAACAAAGAAGGAACGAAAACTGCCGTCAGAACTACCAGAATGGGCACCATCCTATGTAGCATTGGCAAAGGTTCTCATGAAGTGTCGCTTGTTCCACGAGTCGATCAATTTGTTCTTGCACATCCACTTCTCCTGTACCGAACTCGCTACCTAAATCGAAGTTTCGAGTAGGAACGAACAATTGAGGCAATGACTTACTGACACTTTCAAGCTTCTAATCTTTTCCTATATGTGTTTCACTTTCCATTTGAGGACCTCACCTCCTTCTCCTATGATAGAGCGAAGTGCTCATTCTAAGAAGTAAATCTAATCAGAATGTTCTGTAAATGTATTAACTTAATCTAGCGCAGCCCTACATCCGAAAACTTCCTACGAACAGCCATCCCTGTATCGTCCTACGTACAGTCGATATCCGAAAGTTGGGGTAGGCGTGTCACCGGAAGTGACGTACACTTGATACAGTGCGTTTCATATGGACACCACACAATCCACGTTGAAAAGATAACTAAGAGGTTTCGTGCTATGCAACCCTTGTCCATCAATCGATTCCCGTAGTTGATAACGTGTCCGAGTAGTTTAGCAGATAACATCACCTTGCTTTAGTAAAAAAAAATAGAATCGAATTTTCTTCCTTGTTTCAAAAATACGTGGACACTTAAAGGAAGCGATTACGATAGATTTCACAGGGGTTTGGAGTGGACGTGAGGGTCTCAGTAATACACCAATGGCGAAAAAAGCAAAGAAATCCGTCAAAAATAAGCAGAATAACCCTCTTTGATTGCCCTTTCATTTTCGACCACCGAT